TAATAATATGCTTATATTCTGTTTTTATAAGTGATCGTGCATTATTAATATTTGCACCAGAATCAGAAACAATTGCTACAATTCTACGTGGACCAATTTTTTCTATTATTTCTTTAATTTTTGAAGTCAAATAAGATCTCATATGACTATTTACTGACAAATCATCAAGTTTATATAGATATTCACAATTATTTGAAGTTGTAATAACATAATTCCAAATAGAAGAACTATTTGAATTTGTCCAACCATCCATACTTAATAATAATAAATTTAATAAATATTTATTTAAAATAATATTTATAAAAGATAACTTATCAAGAGTTAAATTTTTACTTTTTTCTAATTCATTTTCAATTTTTAAGTTAATGTTTGTAAATTCAATATCAAGAAAAGAATCAGAAAGAGTATTAGATGATGAAGGATTATATCCAGTATTGAGTTGTTTTAATAACTCAATAAAATAAGAATTTTCTATAACTGAAAAAGAAATTTCACACATTATAAATGCTCTTATTAATGAATGATCAATTTTTTTTTTACGGCTTTCTGGTAAATTTACATTCTCAAAAAATTCTTAAATATTTGAGGTAGAAGAAGATAATTTCAGAATTTCAATTTCTTTTTCAGTTTCATTAGTTGGAATAGAATTATACTCTTTAACAAATTTAGTTAGAACTGTTTTATGAATAGATGCATATACTTTGGTACATTCATTACATATATGTGCAACCATTTTTTTAAATATATCGTGTTCCTAATTTTTATTATCAAATTTACAAGTAGCTTTATAATGTTCACTTCTAACTATTTTACCAGCAATAAAATAATTCCAAATACTTGAAAATTTTTGTTCTACTTTATTTCTAGATATTGCTTTTCTTTTTCTTTTTAGATGAGATGGAGAAGAGTTATTTTCAGAAGAACTTTCAGATATTATTAATAAAATTTAATACATTAAGTTTGACACGTTAAGTCAATTGAAGATTTAATTTATTATAAATTAATTAACCAATCAAATTTATTAAAATATTTTTATAATTATCATATAATATTATCTTGATTATTTTCAAGTTATCTAATTGTAAATATTTTTCATAATATTATATATATATAATTAAAAATAGATATTATTGTAATTATATATAAAAGTTTTTAATTTTATAATTAAATTATAAATTAATAACAAGTATGCCTATAATTAAAAACTAAATATATTTATTACAAAAATTTTAAATACAAATCTTATATTAATTATAAAATTAAAAATTTTATAATTATAATTATTTTTAATTTTATATATAATTATATTACAGTAGAATTACATAATTATAGCATTGCGACATAATTATGGCATTGCGACATAATTATGACATTGCGATATAATTATGACATTATGACATAATTACAACATTACGACATAATTACGACATTGCGACATAATTATGACATTACGACATAATTACGACATTGCAGCATAATTATGACATTACAAATTGTTGCAATTATTTTTTTAATTGTAACTTGAGTTGCAACTCCATAGTTGTAACTCTTGCCTTAATACATTAATTTCGTCAACTATCATTACTTCATATTGTTTTATTAATTTATCAAAATCCTCTTTTTGTTCTTGTTTTAATTCTACTACTTTGAATTTTTCAGATTTTATAATATATCTATCTGATGATGATTTTCTTATCTCTAGTCTCTCTTCCAAATCACTTTCTTCATCATCTATCTTATCCAAATGTGGTCAATCCTGTTTTAGTTTATAATTTTCTTGAAAAAGAACTTGTTCTTCCTCATTATCACTTTCATAATTATCATCACTTTTATAATTATCTTCTGTTTGTTTATATGTCACTGTAATCTTGATATTTTGATTTCTCCAATTAAGAGTTAATTTCTGATTTTTTCAATCATAACTAGTTCCTGCTTTTATCATCCAATCATTTCCTAATAATATATAGTATGTCTCAGTTTTCATTACTTTTACATTAATTGATATTGTTTTTCTTTTAATTTCAATAAGGAAATCTCTAATTCTTCCTAAAGATTCATTTTTTTTTCCATTCGTTAATATAATTTTATAATTGGTTGTTTCTTCTATATCATATTGTAATTGTTCCATAGTGTTTTCTGAAATTATGCTAGTGGCTGTTTCACTATCAATAGTAGCTGATACTCTAAATCTATTCACTATTACTTCATATTTTAGGGTGGTTGTTTTTATATTATTATTTTGACTTGCTAATTTTGTAATAGTTTTTTTTGAAGTTCTTAGTACTTCTTTCAATTTTTTCTTTTCTTGGGAACTGATTTTTAATAATTGTGATAATGTAATTTCTAATTTTTGTTCTTATAATTTTTTTATCATCAGGAAATTTTTGAGACAAATATATACAGATATTTTTTAGTTTAAAAAAAATTTGAATAAATTTGCAAATTTATGTGAATATATTTACATATATTCAGATTTTTTCAATTTTCAAATATTCAGAACAAATATATTCAGATATTTTTTGATTTAGAAAAAATTTAAATAAATTCATGAATTTATGTAAATATATTTAAATTTTTTTGATTCTCAAATATATTCAGATATATTTATTGTATCAGAAAATTTTTGGGAGCAAATATATTCGAATATTTTTTGGTTTAAAAAAAATTTGAATAAATTTACAAATTTATGTGAATATATTTGCATATTGAATTTTTTTGATTCTCAAATATTCAAATATATTTAAAAATTATTTGAAAAATTCATAAGATATTTAATGAGAAATGATACTGAAATTCTATTTTTAATTCTTTGTAGTTATGATCTTTAACAAATTTTTAAATAGATAAAGATCTATTTAATTCTAAAAAAATCATTGGATAAAAAACATGCTAATAATTTATTTTATTCATTTAATTTCACAAATTTATGTTTTATTTATGTTATATTCATTTTTATTTACATTATCAATTATTTTTTTTTATTAATTATTTTATAT